TTGATAAAAAATACCAATTATCATCTCAAAAGTTGATAGTTCAATCTCAAACTCATAAAACCGGATGGTCTTGGATCAAGGTTTTGAGTAAAGTGAGATTTTGAGTCAATAAAAACACTAAATACCCTCTTAAAAATTGATAATTCCACCTTGAACTCGAAAAACCAGGGACCTTGGTCTCAAGGACATGGCTATTAAAATGGACTTAGCCAAGTAAAGAACATACCTGTAGTGGACCAAATCCTTGGAGTATAACATCCTTTCAAAACTCACTATAACTTGAGTTTGCTCAAATCAACTTTCTTAACTGGATAGGTATAAGCTTCGTAATTTATTTGCTGTCCCAAGCTACTTATCTTTGTCAAAGTAGTTATTAGATCCACCTGAAAGAATAGGCCATAAAGCTGAGTATAAGAATTCGAGGTGAAGTCAGACTATACATAGTTTGAGAATCCTATTCATGCCCACTAAAAAAGGGTAGAAATCTCAACATTCTCACATCAAGACTAGTCTTTAGTTTCATCCACATTAATTCTGACTAGAAAAGAAATAAATAATTATGCACTGACCTCATAATCAGTCTGAGATACTGTTTCACGGCTCCGTTGATATTTTTGAACCCATGGAAGAACATCTGGATCTGAGGATAAAAATTCTTCGGTTGCTGCCTGATCAGGACCCAAAAATGCAGACAGCACAGCTAGCTGGTGAATAACCAAACAAGGTTTTAGCATAGCATTCATTCACTAAATAATATACGCTAACAAATGCATCTGAACATAATTTCAGGGTCCTGCATCTTTGTGCCTCATTCATCATACCAGTTCTTTGCATTCTACCGTGTTATAAGAGTGATAAACTTTTCTTTAAGTTTTTAATATACTTACCTACATCAACCAATTAAGTTTTTTGACATATATAATCCGCAAGAAATATATGGACATATTACATCTTGTAAGGTAGAACAATATTTCAAATGGAACTTTAAATTAAGGAACATACCTGTCGTGGACCAAATCCAATAGCAGAGAACTTTTCTTTCATTTCCTGCACGCTAGCTTTCCCCCAGATGGGAACCCTTCCCTCTGGATCAGGCGCTTCAGCATCTGATCTTCCAAATTGCCTGTCGAACAGGCCCCACTGTAGGCACAAGGAGACATTGTTGTTTGGGTTATGCACGAAATAGTAAAAGTTTGCCAATTGTCACGTTCCTTTTTGACACAAAATTCGTTGCTGCATAAGCGTAGACTACACTATTCAGAATAAAGTATCTATTCTCTATCCATTTGGACAAAGACAGAAAAATGGCCAACCAATTAGAACAAGAAAAGTAGAGGATCCTTAGATCAACTCAACCAAATTTTATACTGAAAAATTTAGGTCACTCAACAAATACTTCCATAGAAAGCACATAAGCAGGTATAATTATTTGACAGCTATAAATTAATACGAGTAATTCTGGGTATCCAACACCAATCGTATTTGCAACTAAGTAGTGATGACTTAAGCATGTCCCTCAATTGAGTTCGCACAATCTTATGTTGTTTATAAACAGATGCAAGAAACTCATTTTCATGATTATTTCAACTAACTTTGGTAACCAGAAGCATTCTTTTTTAATAACCTTATTCACTTTAACATCCCTTGACAAGATCAAATTGATTGCATGCCTTTCGTTGCCTAAGAATGCAGCAGATTCAAGAAGAAAGGTGGTCTTTGAAAATCAGACCACAGAGGATTGTCAGCTCAGAAATACAGTATCACTAATGGGAATATTATGCCAACCCTCTAGTTGAACTGCCGAGAGATCTTACTCGGGCTCATTCTAACATCCAGGGTGGGTGGATGCTAAAGTGAAGATCTCTCGGCAGTTCAACTAGAAGGAGATCTACTGACACAATTACGCAGGCTCATGCATGTACTAGATGAGTATATTTGTGATAACCATTCAGATATCCATGCAGCATAACAGACCTGCCCGTTGGAACCATACGCAGTATATAACAAATTTCCCTTTTCTTCATTCCCGCCACATTTTCTGATGGCAGCAGCTAGAAAGGTGGATTTAACGGCACTTTGTGCTGCATGGAGAAAATGAACTCGAACTCATCGATATTATTGATTCAGAAAACGCACTAGCATTAATAGAATACACAAATACAGATTCAGATCACTGTCAACTCCTATTCCAACTCAGAACTTAGCTAATTACTGGCACCATTTTAATTTACTAAAAAAATTAAAAAAAGAAAGAAAAAAAAGGTATCAGAAAGAACTTGACCAATGAATTGAAGAAGTCCAGAGATGGGGATTGTTAAGCCATTAAACCTGCGAATTGGATAAGATCTGCGTAGGAAATGGGTCCACCCTTTGAATATGAATCTATCTCCTTCTTGGCTTCTTCTAATAAACTCAGGGCAGCAGAAAGATTCTCATTTTCAGGTCTGGAAATCTCTGAACTTCATGGAAGAAAGCATGTAAAAGAAGTCAATATATTTTATAGTGGAGAAAGTGCTAATGTGTTACTTTACACAATCGATTAGCTAGTTGAATAGCACTAAATTACTTGATGCTAAACAGTACAATACTATGTGATGGCTGAAAAGAATTGGAACTATAAAACGAGGAAGGATAATGATTTAACACCAATAATACTATGTTCATCAAAAAAAAAAAAAAAAACCATTTTTGAGAAGCGTTTGTGAATCATCAATAATGCACGAATATGGAAGTTAATGAATTATTTCTCAGCTAGAAGGAAATGGCATCTAAAATGTAGCACCTGAAGCGGATGGATCCATTTGGCCCTCCAGATTTAGTAGCCTACAAACTCAATCAAATTTTATTAGCGTATTCCTTCCAATCTATTTAGTTTGTCGATGCAATAAAATTAAATCCAGTTATGGAAATTCTTAGAGCGGAAGTATTTTTATCTGACCTTGTCATAAGTCACAGCATCATTTAGTGCCAATGTTAATAGGGAGGGTACAATGTCCGGATTTTTCTGAGATAAACAAAGGAAACAAAGGGGATGAGTATCTTCTCAAAGGACCAAGTGTCTGATTATAAGAACATAGATCCAAAAGTGTGCAAACTAAAAAAGGTATCAATCTATCAGCTTGAGTCTAGTAATGATTTATTGGATTTATACCTTAATAGCCGTATAAAAGGTCCCCTTGATACTTGCTGCAATCAATATTGTAAAAGCAAAATAAGTAATAGAGGCATTTGTAAGAATGTAAGCACTTGAATTAAATACAATACCTTGCATTATTTACAAGAAGTTTCAACCACTCGGGAATGGTAACATCATTTCCAAAAATGAAAGCAAACAATCGACTGGAAAACAGTAATGCAGAGCAATATAACTTACATAAAAATTCAGATCGCTGTCTGCGCTGTATTAAATCAGCAGCATAAGCCGGCTCCACCATTAGGTCAGAGTTCACCATTAATCCCTAAGAAGAGGTCGCAACTGGCAGAAACTCATCATCACTTAATTCTAATTCATTCGAGCTCAAATAAATTTCTAAAATAAGCGTTTGATCGCTCACTCGCTTCTTACATGATGAGCAAGCAGCTAAACTTTATCGTATTCTCAATACTTCATCAGAAAAAACGAGTAACACCTCAACTCGGAAATAAGTAAATGTAAAGCACTGGTCGAATTAGTTCACTCGTCAAAGAAATTTCTCATAGTACGGAGAAAAGAATGTGGAGATTCACAGAGAAAGAGAAAGAAATGGCTCTCACCAGGGCAAGAGTACCACCAAAAGCTTGAAGAACATCTCTTCTACTAAACCGATCCTCGTTGTTAGCATCCGTTTTGATCTGAGCACAACGAACTCTGACCTGAAATTTCACACAGAAGAATCTACGATGAGGCAGAAATTAGAAACGCATGATCAAAGAAACGGAAGACTTACAATGTGCGAGGGAAATGCAGTGGCGGAGGAGAGGGCGGATTGAGGAGGAACGATTGCAGGAAAGGAAGTCAGGGACGAGAGGAAGGAGACTCCCATTGTGAACAAAGCTCTCTCTCTCTCTCTGTAACTCTGTGGAAGAAGAAAATGGAAGAACGGAATGGAGCGAATGGACTAGCGAACAGAGATTCTGTGGCGCTATATTTGTGGAGAGCGGGAGTTTGTAATCATATCCTCATCAGGACTGTCCCCTCCACGTCATTTCCCTTGGGTCCCACCATATTTTGTTAACTATTTTTATATTTTTCCCTTTTAAATTTAGTATTATACTATTTATTTATACCTTATAATCCTTCTACTTTCAAATTTTAGTAAATACATTCGCAATATACATTTTCTTAAATAAAAGTTATTATTAATTCTTTTTTAATGGAATAAATATTTACTTCTTTGACACACCATCTACCCTTTTTAAATATATTATTACTCAAAAAAAACAGTTAAAAATTGTGAATAATGTTCACAACGATTTAAATAGAATACAAGCTACCAACTAATACTAGTAAACTAAATCTTGAGAATAAAATAAAATATATTACGAGAAAAATATTAATATCTAATAGGGGTGTACCCAACAACCCGAACTAACCCAACCCAAACTATAAAGGTTGGGTTGGATTAAGTTTCGAATAGGGTTGAGTTCATTTTTTCTAAACTCAAACGGAATCGTTCGGTTTCGGGTTCTTGAACAAAACCCTCGAGTTGACCCGATCCAAATAAAATATATTAAGAATCGTATTAATGGATTGGTTGGTATTTAGGCTAGTATAAGAGAATTCGATGCCAAGCAAATACATGTTTTTTATTTTATTATTTTATTATTTTTATTTAAAACTTAAAAAAAAATTGCAGCCCACCCCTAATCCAACCCAAAAATCCCTATCCTAAGATATATTCAAACATCTTTTAACTCATTTAAACTAGCAATAATTAATTCTTAGATACATTTTAATACATCCATATAATATATATATATATATATATATATATATATATATATAAAAGCTCAAAATAAAATGAGCAAAACTCGTGGAGTTTATTGATTATGTAAATTACAAGGCAACCGGAAGTTGCATTATCTCCTGAACCTGAAACAGCATCTCTCTCAGCAGGAAAACGTAGTGGTAACAAATCTAATTTAGCCTCTCCATTGACACGCACCAACACATCAAAAACTACAATTTTTTCTCACTTAATATATACTTTTTTTTTTTTTTATCTTCCAATGAATTTGATTGTTGTCTCTGACATAAACAATCCGGCAAAGGATTAACATAAAAGGCTTCTTCTGAACGGAACCTATCCATTCCTCTAGTACCTGAAATTGGGCCTTTTCTCTTCCTTGCAGATCCTTGCCTGCACAAAATAATTGTTTGGCTTTTGTTCAATCAAATATTAAAAAATGTTTTTCCTAAGATTTGTCGCAGAAATGTACCTTTGCTTATGCAGTTCAATAATTCGGGTGGCTAAGTTATCCCCTTCTTTCATGGTTCCTTGTTCAAGCTTGTCAAACAGCCGAACAAGGGCTTTCCTGTTTGGTCAAGTTTAAAAGTTCAAAACCATTTCACAAAATGTGCACAAATGAATTCAAATTTATATCTACCAAAAGCCTTGCCTGTCTGGTGATATTGTCCTCCTATGTCCGAGGAAACGGCGGTGGCCTTCAACTGCCCGAGCCATGTTCCCGGAATATGATGATATAAATACATAACTTTCAACAGATACAATGTAGTCCAGTGCAGCCATTTGAGATGCATGATGGGCAAAAGGTTCGAGCTCCTCAGAGGATGCCAATAATTCCTGAAAAATAGATAACAATGTCATTGCACAATCTATTGATATAACAATTTTCTATAGTTTATTTCATAGCATGTGGTGACTGAATTTGATCATGCCCCTATGGTTTCCTAGCTTAAGGGTGAGTTTTAGATGACTTTACAAGAGTGGAAGTGTAACAGTCAAAGTCCACCGCTAACAGATATTGTCTGCTTTGACCCGTTACGTATCATTGTTAACCTAACAATTTTAAAACGCGTCTGCTAGGAGAGAGGTTTCTACACCCTTATAGGAATGTTTCGTTCTTCTCTCCAACCGATGTGAGATCTCACAATCCACTCCCTTCACACCGCCCGGTGTTCGACTCTAATACTATTTCTAACAGCCTAAATCCACTGCTAGCAAATATTGTTTGCTTTGACTCATTACGTATCGTCGTTAGCCTCACGGTTTTAAAACACATCTGCTAGGGAGAGATTTTTACACCTTTATAAACCCTTATAAGTAATGCTTTCTTCCCCTCTCAAACCAATGTGAGATCTCATACGAAGAGTCCTCGATTTTGAAACTACTAAAATTTTTATAGAAGAATACTTAAAAATGCTTTTGGGACCAAGCACTCAATTAGTGCTTGTAGAAGAAACACTCACTTTAAAACACTTTTTCAGAAGGCATTCCAATCTCATCCTAAATAAGGCCTTCATCTAAAGATAATAATACAAGTGAAAAGTATCTATCAGTGTGGTATACCTTCCTCATTAACAAGGGATACCGCGATTGGAGATCCGACATGTGAGATTCACCCCCATATATGTCACCTGAAGCTATGTATATAGGAGTACTCGATGGGTATCCAAGAGCGTTTAGAAAAATTCCAACCTCTTTTGGAGTAAGGGGGCAACGCCCCTTGGATCTTTGTTCCTTTGGATCGATGTTTTTTACTTTCCAGTAAGATGTGTTCTCCCTGACAGTTTAATTTATAACCAAATGTTAGGTATCAGACAGTCAGAAACTATATTGAGTCCTGCTAGATCCTCCATACCTAATCATCCTTAGCTCGTCAGCTTCGGCCGGAGACAAATCATGTGTGCATCCACTGAATGAGAGCATATCCTTCTCATACCGCAAATGTAAAGCAATGTAAGGACCATAAGACCTCATACGATCCACCAAAAGCTATGACAAATGAGATCCATTAATTTACAGGAAATATTTCAGAACAGAAGTTACAAATTCATTTCTCCCTTGAGGGAAGAAAAAGAGAAGGCAAAAGAACTTAAGGCTTGTTAGTCAACCTTTCCCATAGCTTCAATTTTAGGTGCAAATCGCAATGCTTCATAACAAGCACGGCATCGCAACTTCTGTATGTCAGCAGGAAGGTTGTTATTTGCTAAGCGAGAATCTGACTTCGCAGCTCGAATAACCTGGAGCAAAAATTAGAAATTAGCATTTGTAATTGTTGAGAAAAGGTTCGTGGGCAGGGCTTTGTTACACTACCGGATAGTCTTTCCACATGCTAGCTATCTCATCCCGGTAGTAATCAACGCCAGACCAGCTCCTGAAATGTTTAACTGCTCTTGCACTGGTAGAAAACTCCTTAGGAAGCTTCTTAATGACTTTTACATCATTGGAAAGAGCATTAATAAAATGGTCTTCATCAAAAATATCCGAGAATTTGCTGCATAATAAACACACATAAATTGTAAAATTTCAGACAAAAAACAAAAGATGAACTAGAGATGAAAGAAATCTACCTAGAGTCTTTCCAAAATGAATGTTTGTCAAGTTCTGGAATCACAAGGGTTGCATTAATTATACGTGCTATAGCAACCATGTCACATATCTGCAATTTAAGAATGAGAAACAATCTTAGTCTCAAAAAGTGTACACTGTATTTTGTTTAATGGGTACATAATATTATTCACCAAAGCTTAAAATATACCATGTGAAAACAGAAACTGCAACTACTGCTTACGTACCTCAATGAATTAACTTATTGGATTATCTCATACATAATGGATGAAAACTAACTCAAATCTCTCTCTCTCTGAGATATAAATGCAGTACTAACACATACTCGTGACTTTTTAGAAAATTCATGAGATCATAAATTTTAATCTCATAAACTGATCTCGTTACTGGGATTTTTCTAGTATTCCCCCCATAATCATTTCATGTCCTCCCATAAAAAACGAGGGGTTTCTCCCATTTGCCAAATTTCTCTCAAATGTATTGCTATTTTGTGGCTCCAAGAAATTTTTTGTGACTTTATAAATTAGTGTGTTAATTAGATGTTTATTAGTCATCATAAGTAGGAACGCTCAAGTATTCCCCTGCTGTTTCAACCAAACACGTTTATCTTATATCACAAGCATTTAATCGACATTTTCTCCTAGAATCAAATTTACAAAATCACATGCTCATCCATCATTAATGGACCTAATTTAAGAAAATCTTATTCATACAGACACAGGGGCCAGATCATGCGAGGAGAATGAGGAAGAAGGTACAAAGAGCGATTACAAACCCCTGCGCGCATTTGATTAAGCCCTCCATTCGCATGAACAAGAAGGTAACCTCTCGACTTTTCAGGAGCTGAGAATCCCCAAAACAAGGCAATAGCATTAACAACAATAACAAGCATATATTAGTGCAAGTGCACCATAGTATTTTATTTCATGAAGAGAAACAAATAGCGATTCCGAACTGCCTTACATGAGTAATTAAGACTAGGCGCAGTGCAGGGAAAGAAATCACGATTTGGAGGAGGATTCCAAAGAGCGTCCAAAGCTGAGGTCTGGTTGCCACAAGCCAACTTTCAGGTCTAAAGAAGTTAAAAGGCATAACTACTTCGCATTGGTATGATATCTACATCCATTGCAAGGTAGCAAAAGAAGTGAAGCAATCGTCTAGTCCTCTATTGGGCAAGGCGTCAAGAAAAACAGGAAAATAAAACAAAATGCCGCTCCATTGATGGAATGAAGCATGACTATATAGTTTTTACCTTGTGAAAAAGACGGTGAGCCTTCGACCAACGAAGCGGTGCAAGCTCTTGTGTCAAGCTTTGCTCTGGAACCGGTCTCCGAAATCTTAATTCACCTTGCTACAGAAATGAAAAAGAAACTTAAAGAAAGCTAAAAGAAGTATCAATCAAAACAACGTTTCAACTACACAATCTACCTGACCATTTACGAAGAAAGAGTACGAAGCAAGAAAAAGTACTGAAGTAAAGAAATCGAGTACGAACAAATAAAGTTGATTTCGATTTCTGAAAAGTATGAAGAGTAGTTCGAACAGTAATAATAAACCACGCATAGGCAGAAAACAGTGACAAGAAGATAAAATTAACAGAAAGAACAAGATCGCGACTGAAACAAACAGCCAAAAAAAACAAAAACCGATGCAAGAGAATAAACAGAAAAGAAAGAACATGCGAGAAATGAATTGGAGGTTGATGATCACCGTCGGGAGTCTGTAAGATCGAGAGAAGATCGGAACGTCTCTGGACGAAGGAAAGATCTGGACAGGAACAGATAACACAGCAACTAACGCCATTGAGCACATAGTGCACGTTAGAAGCTTCCTCATGACCAACACCGCTCTCCGCCGCGGCCTCTGCATCTCTCAATCTCTACAAACTGAAACGTTCGAGAAGACGACTCTCACGCTCTCTCTTCCTGAAGCTCAATCGCTGAAACAATGGCGGCCAAGCATTTTAGAGGGAAAAAGCTCGGCGGAAGCGTGGAGGTTTTGAAATTTGGGATGATTTTTTGTTCTTCCCTTTCTCTACACTTTGCCACTCTCTTTCGGGCGGTTTTCTGACTATTTTCTCGTTAGCATTTGCAGGGGAGTAATTTATACGAATTAAATTAAAATTTTAAAAAAATACCATCAGCGGGTCCCACTTTTTTTAAAAAAATCAAAATAGATGGGAAATAATTTCCACGTGGAATTTCCAAGAATTTCCTTTTATATTGATAAATTAAAATAATTCTAATTACTCTGAAAAAAAAACAATATTAAATAAATTAAATTTAAATATAACTTTTATTCATTTCATACCGCGTAATTTTAAAAAGTTACCATTTTAGTTCTTGAATTAATTTTTATTTTCATCATATTAATAAATTAGAGTAATAAATTAATAGTAAAAAGTAAAGGTAAAAATAGGAATGGTAATAAATTTGAGGGGGTAAAAAGTCCAAAGCTTGGATCCCAATGCAGCACATTGGGTGACGTGCATGGGCGTGAGTGCGTAAATTTATACATTTAACCCCCCACAAGTGCCCTTATTTATGACCCCAAACCCATTCCCATTCCCGGTTCGGTTCACGTTTATTCCGGTTCAATGTTGTATTTTGTATTTATTAGAAAATTTAATTTTTAATTTTTTCTATAGTCATTTTAAATATAAAATTGAAAATTTGCAGATATCTCAATTATAATAAATAATTAAGACATATAAAAATTAAATTAAACTTAATTTAATTTAAATTTAGGGAAAATGTAAATACCTGACATATTTTTAAAGTCACGTAATCATCATCCTGTCGTCTTCTCCTTTCTTGGCTTTTTTTAATAAATAAATAATAAATAAAAGCTGGATCTTACCTTTTTTTTCTGATCTGAAAATTTAAAATTTAAAAATAGAAATTAAAAAGATTTTGTGCCTAACTTGTTTATGTTATTGGAAACAGAAGACTTCTGACGTGCTTCTTAGGTCAGGTATTGATTTTTCTAGTTGACGTGGAATACTTTATCGGTATTTATTTATTTATATTATATTATATAATATAAGAGTGTTCATATGATCTGATAACACTGACTACCTCGAATTTACTGCTTGTTTGGTTGACTTTTTTTAAAATAAGAAAATTAGACGGGTTAGTTGGTTTGCAAAATAAAGTCAACTTAAATAGAGAGAAAAGTTGTGAACACTATTCAAGTTGCTCGTATGGACTCCCATTTCAATAAAGTCCGAATTTCTTCATTTTTTTAAATATAAAATTATAATTTTCGAGTTGGGAACTTTACGCTATAATTATTGATTAGATAAGAAGCTTTCAGCGTATCATCGTACACCACGTGGCACACGATCCATGTTACTTTTGGTGAAATCGAGTGGGCCCTGGGCACTCTTCTGTTCTTTTGTAATTCCCTCGTGTTACACGTGCGTTTGCGTAGTTGTCAGGTTTTGCAAAACGACGTGTCGGACGGAAGCTAAGCTAATTTTAATGACTTTAGTGCATTATATAAATAATATATATATTGGGTAATTAAAGTGAAGTGAGTAATTAAATATATTTAGTGGTCTAAGTGAACGTAGTCAATACGGAACAGAATTGAATTATTCGAAGTCATGACCGACACTGAATTTTTTTTAATTATTTATAATTATATTAATTAATTAAACACGGGCTTGTTGTTGGGTGGTGGAATGGGTCCAATTTCATTAGAAAAATGTCGAGATGGGGCAATTAAATCCACAAACTAGCTTTCTTCCCCCAAAATCATTACAATATGGGTGTGATTGACTAATTGAATGCCTATTCAAACCAAAATTTATCATACACATACCGTGGTCGGCCCACCAAAGTCGAGCACGATAATAAGTTGGATGGGTTGCTTTCATCTTCTCCTAAGACGGTTTCAATTCAATTCAAGTAAACCGTCCAAGAAAAAACATTTTATTGATGAAATGAAAGTGACCGATGCAAAATAGAGACACATTCGACACATTCTCAACCTTCCCTTCGAACAAAATTGCCACAATTCACTAAACAAGAAACACAGGCAATCAACCAAGTTTGGATAAACATCCTCTAATCATAAGGTGTTCTTCGTGTTTTTCTATTGCAGACCAAATTATTAAGTATAGCTCAATTAGTTAAGATATGTATTCAAATATGTGTTCAAAAGGTATTACCACAATTCACTTGCCAAGAAACATTGGCATTTAACCACGTTTGGATCAACATCCTCTAATCATGTGGTATTCTTCGGTTTCTCCATCACATACTAAATTAAATATAACTCAACTGGTTAAGATATGCATCTTTAAAGACGGGTGTTCGAAATGTATTACCACAATTCACTTACCAAGAAATGTTGCCATTCAACCAAGTTTGGATCAACATCCTCTAATCATATGGTGTTCTTCGTGTATATCTATAACATACCAAATTAAGTATAGCTCAAATAGTTAAGATATTTATCTTTAAATACGGGTGTTCAAAAGGAAGACTCTATCTTACAACCATACCTATTGTATATAATGGAGTAACCAGAAGGCAGGGGGGATAAATATGATACTTAAAGAAAGCAATGGCATACCATCCCACAGTGAGCTCTCCCACAAGCTGGATTCTAACATTTTGTATATTTTGGGACGAAACAAAATTGATGGCTAGTGCCCAGTACAAAAAAAAAAGGGTAAATGAATTAAGTTGAGATAGATAATTAAAAGTAGGGTTCTTACTAATTTCTTGTACCCCTACTTCTTCTTGATGTGACTTGCACCCATCCATCTTCGGCTTCGGCTGTGGCCTCTGGAGTGGGCTGATTGACAGGCCTGGGTTGTATGGCATCCACCATCATATCCCTCCTTCCATTTCCAACATCAACATCACCACCCTCTTCTTCATCCTCTTCTTCATCATCGCTCATAACCTTTGAAATTCATCAATGTCAAGATTAGAAGATACTCTATATAAGAATTAGAAGCAAATGTTTTGTTTGTTTAGTAGTATGAATGACATCTTTGAGATTGACCCATAATGAGCTGATGCAGAAAACTGCGTTAGTCGGTGAGATCTCACATTGGTTGGAGAGGGGAACGAAGCATTCCTTATAAGAGTTTCTTATAAGAGTGTGGAAACCTCTCCCTAGCAGACGCGTTTTAAAATCGTAAGGCTTATGGCAATACATAATGGGCGAAAACAGATAATATTTGCTAGTAGTAGTCTTGGACTGTTACAAAATCTCTTCCGCAAGTTCTTATTCCACGAGATATTATTATTTTTCGATAAGAGACTGACTTTCATTGAAAAAAATATATATGAAAGAAAAACGAACAAGCCCACAAAAGAGAGCATGCTAGATGAAGGGTCTCCAGTCTAACAAAGAAGACAGAAATGGCACCTTGCATTCGAAAGTACTTGGAAAAAGATAGTAACTAGACTCGGCGACTAAGGGGTTCTTTGCCATTTAAACAGTCCCGCGCCCAAGCTGAAGTCCCAAAACCCACATCTAGTCAATCAAGTTCGGGTCACGAAGCTTACACTCATTCACATTCCTCACTTAGCTCCACTACATTCTTCTACCACCAATTTTCTTCCATGCCCTCTCTTTACCATCTTCGTCATTTTCTCCATCTAGCCTGTCTCTTTTTGGCCACAAGTTATGGCAATGTAGACCAAGGAATAACACTACTGGACATTAAGTTCCTTTTTAACATATACTTTTGACTTCAAAAGTTTAGGACAAACATTCATGTTACCTGACTAACGTGAGAACGAGCAACTTTAGGAAGAGGGGATTGCCTTAACTTCTCGATAGAGCTAAAGTTACCATCCAGACATTCCTCATGCATGACAATCAATCTTTCAGCTACCTGCATTATTAGGAAGAAACACAAGAAACAAAAATCCATTAACAAGAGTAACGACTCAATTCTTGAAGGAGCTACAAGATAGGAACACATTTCACTTTTCAGAAGTGATTTTAAACACAAGATAATACATCATTGACCTCACTCAACTTTTATCCCATCCTCTTTTTTCTCCATCTGTTTCTATTTTGTGTCTTATTCTTCTACTTCAACCAAGAATTCTAATAAAAGAGGAAGAGAGCAACAAGGAGAATGTGTGTAACAGTCCAAGCTCACTGCTAGTAGATATTGTCATCTTTGGACTTTCCCTTAAGATTTTTACAACGCGTCTGCTAGGGAGAGATTTCTACACCCGTATAAAGAATGTTTCGTTCTCCTCCCCAATCGATGTGGGATCTCACAATGTTGAACCAGTAAATAATGCAACCGGACAAATATATTTGAAATCAAGAACTTCTCAAGTATTTTTCCAGTTAGCTCTGGCAGAAAATTGAAAATGATTACAAAAAAACGAAATTCACTTTTAACGTAGATGTAACAAGTTGTTAGTTTCAAAAATCAATGAACTACACAAGGTTTCACTACAAAGGTATTCATACAATCACCACCATCTACCGATCAATATCTTCTGAAGTCACAACCAAAACAATGAATAGCTACAAGTTCAATAACATCTCTATGGATTCCAACCAAAACAATGAATAGCTACAAGTTCAATAACATCTCTATGGATTCCAACCAAAAGCATTGTGCAATGAGACTAGGAGGTGGAGGCAAATATTTCATAATCTCTCTTAAGAGTAGTTAGTCATTTGTAAACAACTAAACTCAATATACAATAAATTTATTTGATTAAGAAAATGAATTTCAACTAGGCTCAAGCAAAAAAAATTGTATTAACTAGGTCTTAAGTACGAGGAAAAGGGCTTTCCACAAAGACTAACAAGAATTGAGAAGGGTATAAAATATACCTCCTCAATGCTACCATCATCAACCTGAGTATTCAACGAAAGCAAAGCTTCATCAAGAATCATTTCTAAATCATCAATGTATAGTGGCTCTGCAAGATAAAAACTATAACTCTCTCAGATCAAAATAAAAAAAATGAAGTATTCTAATGTGAAACTATAAACGTCTTGCTTACATGGTATCAAGTTCCACTACGACCAAAGTGAATATCAGACAAAATACAAGCTAGAAACTATATTTCTGGATTTTTTTTACCAAACAAAAGATATATAAATATAATTTTTTTTATATACAAAGAGAAAAAAAAGCATTACAAATAATAACATGATGGAAATTTTAAGTTTATTTCAGAATGCTTTTTAACAATATTCATGAGTTTCTTTCTTAGAAGTAATTAAGGGAGATTTCCTCGGGTATTCTTCATTGGGGGAGCCTTACTTCTTTGAAGCGAGACGTCGGGGCCATGCCTAGGCATGCGCCTCTGTGAACATTTTAAAACGCTTATGAAGCCACTAAATGAATTTCCCTTTTCTATGATTATACAAACTGCTTCTTCACAAAGTTACAACAAATAAATATTTAATTGCTTGCAATAAACAACACTACTGGACCTGAGAAACTGCAGAAAGAGGAACAGTGCACGAAGGAAGGTAAAAGATTACCCAAGTGGAAAGGGCCAAAATTACCTTTGTTCTGAGTAAACCATGTGAGAATGTCAGAGCATAATAGTTCAACTTTACGACGAGAGTCCCGACCGCCCCACTCGTTTTCCACTGCCAATTGAAGAGCTGACCAACGAGATAAAACCAACCCGATGCCTTCCTGGAACGATGGCAAAGCAACAGCTGGGAGAAGGCGGTTTTCGCCACCTTCCATCTCTCCGCCTCCAAACGTAGAACCCTAAAACCCCAATTATCAAAGAGCGAGTAGAATAACAAGCGTAATCTTCTTGTCTGTCTATCTTATCAGTATGTGAGCACATAACAAGGAACAAAACACATTTTCTTCCCCTTTTTAAAACTTTTAACGAAGAGAAGATTGTCAACCAAGTTAGGACTAATCGTGTGCCAAACAACGAAGTTGCTATAGTTTGACTGTTGTACAGAAATTCGGTATCTCAAAATAACAAGTTCACAATTGAAGAGATAATTTCATAAAGAAATATGAAACGAAAGAGAGAGATTCATCGCGTAATTGCTCACTTCGAACCATGAGTGGCATAAAGCAAGATCAAATGTAGAACAAATCTAGAACAAACATTCAATCAGCAAAGCAAGCCAAAAACAAACACATTTGGAACAAACCTTGAAACAGCTGAGAGCGCTGAATGAAATTGAGAGCGATAGGCGATCGAAAGAGAGCTGCGATTGCGATTCAGAGGGCTTCACAACCAAGGAGATACGAGCTGAGCCCTATGCAGTTTAGAAAAAGGATAATTGAATTTTAAAACATGTGTCTACTTATTATACTAAAAGAAAAAAACAAGAAAAAAACAAAAATCTCTCAAATATTTATTTATATTTAAATACGTCTATATATATATATATATATATATATATATATATATTCTATAATATTTTTAAAATTCATAAATATATAGACCACAAAATTAATTTTTTTAATGTTATTTAAATTAAAATTTTTATTTTACTTGATTCATTCATTTTTTTAATTCTTTAATCTATTGCAGCCCATTAAATAAAAATTTTAAAATATTTTTAAAATTCATAAATATATATATATATATATATATATATGTTTGTGTAGGTATAACTAAAGGGTAGATTTTGTTGGATTGGTACGACAATTCTAAAGGGGTGAATAAAGTTACCGATAAAAGTATTTAAATGTGATTAATTGCATTTAAATGTGATTAATTGTTTTAATTATCTAATAAAATAGTTCTAATCAATTCGAACATGCAATAAATCACAATAATAATTTTGAAATTAAATAGAAAAGAGTTAGAAAATATGACACCCTGGTTTTACAGTGGTTGTGTCAAGCTCGATCTACTCCACTCTTTAAACGTTTCTTATCGACTCTCGGATTAGATCCCAACCGTCAAATATTATCTAATATTTTCTTTTATGAGAAACCCCTAAATATCAAAACTAGTATCAATTTATTTGTACATTATCTTATGGATAATATACGATAATTATAATAATATTTTTTGTTTTAAAAATCTTTAATAAAAAACGAGATAAAACCTTCGCATAAGCAATGGATTTTTGAATTAAAAAATTGGGTGGAGACTTTTTTATGCGTATTTGAATTATGAATAAGAATAATAACTAATATGCTAAATACTTTATTGAATTTGTTGTTTTCAATAGTTAATAGATATTAAATTATGATATATATTTTGAATATCTATTGGGTGAACGTGTCAAATAGAAACTCCATTAATCAAACCTAATCCTTGTTTTCATTGAATTTAAATTAAAATAAGTTTGATATTTTTATATGGAAAATTAATTTATTTCAAATTTAATAATACAATTATATACGTCATAATATATTAATTAATTGAACGATAACTAACCTATATTACCTTTTTAGAGATCGAAGGTTTAAAGTATCGTGTTTGAGGTTGGATGATGAAAGTCCCACATCGGCTAATTTAGATAATGATTCTGAGTTTATAAATAAAAAATACCATTTTCATTGGTTTGAGTCATTTTGAGGAGTCCAAAGCAAAATGACGTTAATTTAAATATATTTATTACTATTGACATTTATTCTAGCTACACCAAAAACCGAAATATTATGCATAATTATAATAAAAAAAATTAATTTAAGCTTAAATTATAAGTATAGTTATTAGATTTCTTAAATTTATGTTGAGTTTATATTAAAATTTAAAAGATATTTAATAAATTAATTAAGTCTATTATGTCATTAATATATATTAATAAAATTAAAATTAATTGATCGTATAATTTTAAAAACTATGCTTAATAAATTAGCTAACCTTTATTTCATCTCCAATAAGAAATTAAAATTATTAACTTTTTAATATATGATATTAATTGTTAAGTCAGCATTTCTTAATATAATGAGGAGAATATTATTATTATTATTTTTTAGATATTTTTGAAATTAGATTAAAAAAACAAAAAAGTTTAGCATGCGATAATTATTAAAAAAAAAACTAAATATTAACAAAAAGTAATTATTTAGGTCAAAGTTTATATATATAGCAAAAAAATCCAAATAATCATAGGAAAAGAATGGAATGAATATACAGAAACAAAATCTTCTCAAACCCTAACGATGAATTGCATCTGAAGAAGAAAAAGAAAAAAAGAGAATTAAAAAACGTATGAAGAAATTACGATCTTCGCGTATCTTCAAGTCAGCCGAATCGAGCGGATTCTATTCAGCCATGCACGTCCCTCTGTACGACAGTTCTCGAGTGCATCAAAACCTCTTCAAATTCCATTATCTTCCGTCTCGGCCGTCTAAGAAACCTCGACCAAAACCCTAGGTTACTATTCTTTCCACTATCGCTCTCTGTTTCTCGTTTCAATCTCGGCGCGAACGCCATCGATCTACTTTTTTTAAAGATCGAAGACGCCGAAAACACGAAAGCCTTACGGCGATCCGTATTGTAACCGTAAGGAGGATTCGGCGAAGAACAGGAAGAACAAGAGGAAGCAGAGGAGTAATAAGAAGAGGAACAGGAAGAAGAAAGAGAATCGGAGACTTTACGCGATGATGTCGCGGAGACGATTTGCGAGAGCTTTTCGGCCAAACAGAGCGAGCAAACGCCGGGAGATTGGTGGTGCTTCGGATGCCGTTTGCAGCGGCGGCGATCATCGTAGTCGGATTTGGATTTGTGAAAGTTCGCCATTGCGGTGGTCGTTTTTGGTGCTTGACAGGAATTGGAATTTGAAATTTAAAGAACGCGGTATTATTGGTGAAAAGAGGAGTGAAGTTTCATGAGGGTTCATACGAGGCTTCTTTGGAACTTCTTCGAAACAGAGCGGCTTTGACGGTAAAAGTATGACGGTGGACAAATGGAGCGTTTTGATTGGATGATAGTTTTCAGGTGGGCTCCACTTTTGAATTCCTTTTTTTCATTTTCCGCCGCAATGGAAATGACCAAAACGTTTTTTATTTCCGTGAAGGCGGCGTGGAAATTCAAAGCCCATTCGAAACGATGCCGTTTTGGGATTACGATCTTCCTTGCTTGAGACCAAAGACAACTTCGAATTGGAATTTTTCAACAAAAGAATTTGGATTTTTCAACCAAAAATATTTATTTATTTTATTTTTTAATAAGATAAAAGCTTCACAAACTCGAGCACCAGATTCACATCTTTTATATTTTTTACTTAGACATATTATTCTTGACTGAACCATTCACGATACTTGAACCTCTCTCGTGTGTATAAAGGTCAACCGATTAATTGAATATTTGTATATTTTTTACAATATATTTCTTATCTACTGTATTTCTTTTATTCTGACCTAATTAAAAATATATTGTTTGGTAAGTGATTTATTAATTTCACAATATTTTTTAAATAATGAATATATAACAAATAAAATAAATAAAATGTTATAGTTTTTTGTTTTTTACCATTATAGAATGAATTGATTTTTATTTAATGGGTTTGCATTTGAAACAAATTGAAAAATTAAAAATTAAAAATTCATTATTATTATTATTATTTTAAATTAATACATCACTTCAATAAAATCATATTTATTTTTTTAATTAAAGGAGACTAATAAAAATATATTTTAGTTTCAAGCTAGAAATTTTGACTTTCTCCTTCTTAGGAAACGCACTATCCCAAGGGCCAAGCACCAATAAATAAAATTGCGCCAAATAGGAGTCAAACCTACAACTATCAACATACAAAGGAAGGGGTCAAACCTACTACTATCAACATACAAAGGCTGTCAATGGTCAGTGATGCACATACATACAAGGGCATCCAAAAATAAAAACGGGTCATGTAGGGGTCGAACCTATGACTTTCAGTTTAGGAAACAGACACTCTATCCACTAAACGCCAAGCACCATTAAATAAAATCATGTAAGGGTCGAACCTATGACTTTCAATTTAGGAAACAGACACTATCCACTAAACGCCAAGCACCATTAAATAAAATCATGTAGGGGTCGAACCTATGACTTTCAGTTTAGGAAACATACACTCTATCCACTAAACGCCAAGCACCATTAAATAAAATCACGCCAAATAGGGGTCAAACCCGACCACCAACATACAAAGGTTGTCAACGGTCGAGAGATGCACATACATACACAAAGACATCCAAAAATAAAAACGCGCCAGGTAGGGGTTGAACCTACGACTTTCTGCTTAGGAAACAGACGCTCTGTCCACTGAGCTACAAGCGCCAAGCACCATTAAATAAAATCGCGCCAAATAGGGGTCAAACCTACGACCACCAACATACAAAGCATCAAAAAAATAAAATGATCCAAAAATAAAATTGCGCCAGGTAGGGGTCGAACCTACGACTTTCTGCTTAGGAAACAGACGCTCTATCCACTGAGCTACAAGCGCCAATGGTTGAGCCAGTGGTCAAGAGATACACCAACATACAAAAGTTGTCGCCAATGGTCGAGAGATGCATCACACCAACATACAAAGACATCCAAAAATAAAATCACACCAAGTAGGAGTCAAACCTACGACTTTCTACTTAGAAAACAAACACTCTATCCACTAAGCTACAAGCACCGTGCACCATTGGTCAAGAGATGCACTACAGCAACATCCAAAAGCATCAAAAAATAAAATCGGTCTAAGAGATGCACTACACCAACATCCAAAAGCATCAAAAAATAAAATCGGTCTAAGAGATGCACTACACCAACATACAAAGGCATCCAAAAATAAAATCAGTCAAGAGATGCACTACACAACCTACAAAGGCATCCAAAAATAAAATTGGTCAAGAGATGCACTACACCAATATACAAAGGCATCCAAAAATAAAATCACACTAGGTAGGGGTCGAACCTACAACTTTCTGCTTGGAGGAAAAAAATGTTTGATCCATAAGTTACAAGCCCCAAGCAACAATAAATAAAATCGCATCAGAAAGGGGTCAAATCTACGACCACCATCGTACAAAGGTTGTCGATGGTCTAGAGATGCACATACATACAAAGGCGTCCAAAAAAAAACAAAATTGCACCAGGTAGGGGTCAAACATATGACTTTTTAGTTAAAAAACACCATTTTACCACTAAGCTACAAGCACCATGCATTAAACACCATGCACCATTAGTCAAAAGATGCACTACACCAAAATACAAAGGCATTCAAAAATAAAATCGGTCAAGAGATGCACTACACCAATATGCAAAGACATCAAAAAAAATAAAATCACACCAAGTAGGGGTCGAACCTACGACTTTCTGCTTAGGAAACAAACGCTCTATCCACTGAGCTACAAGCACCCATGGTTGAGCTGGTGGTCAAGAGATGTACCAACATACAAAGGTTGTCGCCAATGGTCAAGAGATGCACCACACCAACATACAAAGGCATTCAAAAATAAAATCATACCAAGTAAGGGTTGAACCTACAACTTTCTACTCAGGAAACAAACACTCTATCCACTGAACTACAAACACCAAGCAACAATAAATAAAATCGCGTCAAATAGGGGTCAGACCTACGACCACCAACATACAAAGGTTGTCAATGGTCTAGAGATGCACATACATACAAAGCATCCAGAAAATAAAATTACACTAGGTAGAGGTCAAACATATGACTTTTTAGTGAAGAAACAACACTTTACCACTAAACTACAAGCATCGTGCACCATTGGTCAAGAGATGCACTACACCAACATACAAAGACATCAAAAAATAAAATCGGTCTAAGAGATGCACTACACCAACATACAAAGACATCCAAAAATAAAATCACACAAAGTAGGAGTCGAACCTACAACTTTTTGCTTAGAAAATAGATGCTCTATCCACTAAACTACAAGCCCCAAGCAACGTCAGATAGGGGTCAAACCTACGACCACCAAAATACAAAGGTTGTCAATGGTCTAGAGATGCACATACATATAAAGGCGTCCAAAATATAAAATTGCACCAAATAGGGGTCAAACATATGACTTATGACTTTTTAGTTAAGAAACACCATTTCACCACAAAGCTACAAGTACCATGCATTAAGCACCATGCATCATTGGTCAAAAGATGCACTACACCAAAATACAAAGGCATCCAAAAATAAAATCACACTAGGTAGGGGTCGAACCTACGACTTTTTGCTTAGGAAACATACGCTCTATCTACTAAGCTACAAGCGCCAATGGTTGAGCTAGTGGTCGAGAGATGCATCAACATATAAAGGTTGTCGCCAATAGTCCAGAGATGCACCACACCAACATACAAAGGCGTCCAAAAATAAAAATGCGTTAGGTAGGGGCCAAACCTACGACTTTCTACTTAGGAAACAGACGCTCTATCCACTGAGCTACAAGCGCCAAGCACCATTAAATAAAATCGCGCCAAATAGGGGTCAAACCTACGACCACCAACATACAAAGCATCAAAAAAATAAAATGATCCAAAAATAAAATTGCGCCAGGTAGGGGTCGAACCTACGACTTTCTACTTAGGAAACAGACGCTCTATCCACTGAGCTACAAGCGCCAATGGTTGAGCCAGTGGTCAAGAGATACACCAACATACAAAAGTTGTCGCCAATGGTCGAGAGATGCATCACACCAACATACAAAGACATCCAAAAATAAAATCACACCAAGTAGGAGTCAAACCTACGACTTTCTACTTAGAAAACAAACACTCTATCCACTAAGCTACAAGCACCGTGCACCATTGGTCAAGAGATGCACTACACCAACATCCAAAAGCATCAAAAAATAAAATCGGTCTAAGAGATGCACTACACCAACATCCAAAAGCATCAAAAAATAAAATCGGTCTAAGAGATGCACTACACCAACATACAAAGGCATCCAAAAATAAAATCAGTCAAGAGATGCACTACACCAACCTACAAAGGCATCCAAAAATAAAATTGGTCAAGAGATGCACTACTCCAACATACAAAGACATCCAAAAATAAAATCACACAAAGTAGGAGTCGAACCTACAACTTTTTGCTTAGAAAATAGATGCTCTATCCACTACACTACAAGCCCCAAGCAACGTCAGGTAGGGGTCAAACCTACGACCACCAAAATACAAAGGTTGTCAATGGTCTAGAGATGCACATACATATAAAGGCGTCAAAAATATACAATTGCACCAAGTAGGGGTCAAACATATGACTTATGACTTTTTAGTTAAGAAACACCATTTCACCACAAAGCTACAAGTACCATGCATTAAGCACCATGCATCATTGGTCAAAAGATGCACTACACCAAAATACAAAGGCATCCAAAAATAAAATCACGCCAGGTAGGGGTCGAACCTACGACTTTTTGCTTAGGAAACATACGCTCTATCTACTAAGCTACAAGCGCCAATGGTTGAGCCAGTGGTCGAGAGATGCATCAACATATAAAGGTTGTCGCCAATAGTCCAGAGATGCACCACACCAACATACAAAGGCGTCCAAAAATAAAAATGCGTTAGGTAGGGGGCCAAACCTACGACTTTCTGCTTAGGAAACAGACGCTCTATCCACTGAGCTACAAGCGCCAAGCACCAATAAATAAAATCGCGCCAAGTAGGGGTCAAACCTACGACCACCAACATACAAAGGTTGTCAATGGTCTAGAGATGCACTACACCAACATACAAAGGCATCCAAAAATAAAATCGAGCCAATTAGGGGTGAACCTACAACTTTTACCTAGAAAACATGAGCT